GCCTTTCACGGTCCACCTGGGCAATGCCTTGCCCTCTGTGATTCAGCTCTGGCCTCCTGCTGGGCCACCCTCTCACACCTCCCAGTCCACTTCCTCTGCACCACCGCCCCAGACCCCCCACTGACCCCTGGACTTCTCCTGTCCCACTGCTCCAGCCAGCAGCTGCCCCCAATCCCCTCTGTTCCCCAAGTCCAGCCAGGATCTAGCTGCTCCTGGCCACAGTGAGCGCTCTGGCTTCAGGGCGGCCGGCCTCCTCTGGGGCTCTCCAGATATCACCTCCGCCAAAAGTCCTCCCTGGCTTGTTCCCCAAACTGCTTCCTCTGCCTCCACAGCCTTCCCCCTCCGTCTTCTTCCTTCTTTCCCTCCTCCCTCCCTTTCTTCCTCCCTTCCTTTTTCTTAGTGGTACTCGGGCTTGAACTCAGAGCGCCATACTTGCTAGGCAGGTGCGCCACCTCTTGAGCTGTGTCCCCATTTACTTTCTTCCTTCCCTCCTCCCCCACTTCTTCTTTCTCTTTTATTTTTTTGAGACAGTCTTGCTGTGTGGCCCAGGCTGGCCTCAAACACATGATCCTCCTACCTCCACCTCCCTAATGCTGGGATTACAGGCGTGAAGCACCACACCCAGCCACCTTGAGTTTTTCTTCATAGCTCCATCCGTTGCCCCGACAGCAGGTTTGCATCCTCACTTCCTGTCCCTGCTCCCTCCCTGGGGAGGCCCAGGCTGTCCTGTGGTGTTCCCCCATACCCCACCGTGTGTCACCCACAGCAGCGCCCAACCCACCCGCTTGTTCTGACCTTGTCATCCCCTCCACCCAGGTGTGCCAGAGGGCCAGAGTGTGGGCCTGGGCAGCCCTCAGGGAGCCCATGAGTGTCCCCCAGGCATGTCCCCACAGGTCCCCCTCCTGGAAGGCCCCCCGGCAGCAGCACTCACGCGTGCGGTCCTTGTTCCAGGCATGGCAGCTGATTGGCTCCACCAGGAAGCTGTGGTATGCCATGGTTGCTTGGCTCCTGCACCAAGGGAGAGAATCCAGGTGAGCGCTGCCCTGTGTCCCAGTCCCCAACAGTGAGGACTTGGCTCCAGAGGACAGCATTTTGCAGGGGAGGGAGGCCGAGGCTGGGGCAACCCTGGTCTCCTGACTGGCATGGCCCAGTGCTTCCCCTCCTGGGGCCTCAGTTTTCCTCCTCCTGAGACAGCAGCTGCCAACGAGGTCTCCAGGGAACAAAGTGTGGGGAAGGGCCAAGTAGGGAGGGGTGCTGTGACTGAAGATGCTACCAGGAGTGGAACCCTCGCCTCCCAGGCCTATCACTAGTCACCTGAGCCTCGGTTTCCCCAGAGAGTCCCTGTCGTACCTGTAAGATGAGGCAAAGAAGAAATGAAATAACCCTGTGCCGAGTGCAGTGGCTTACGCTTGTAATCCCAGCTACTTGGAAGGCTGAGACAGGGAGGATTGTAGTTCAAGGCCAGCTGGACAAACAGTTCAAGAGCCCCACCCTCCCAATCTCCAAAATAACCAGAGCAAAATGGCCTGGAGGGGTGGCTCAAGTGATAGAACGCCTGCTTTGCAAGTGTGAAGCCCTGAGTTCAAACCCCAGACCTACCAAAAAACCATATATATCTATATCTATCTACATATATATCCATAAGCCACCTAGAACTGTGCTCAGTCCACAGTGCAGACCCTCCACGTGGAGCCTCAGTCTTCCCCACCCAGGGCCTATGGGTGAGGGAGGCAGACAGACAGACACATGGCATTCTTGGGCCAGGACTGACTGGTAGGGATCTTGCAGAGACCCCAGTATGGCCTGGCTATGCGTTACCTGGAGGGGGGCATGAATGCAGCCCCCAGATCTGGCCCTAGCACTGCTGACATGACCCCAGCACAGCATGGTGGCTCCACTCTCGCCCAGAAGCCTCCGGCCAAGGACTGTCTCCTTGATGTCCTGGGTTCACCCCTGTCACCCAGTTTTTCCCCTTGGCTACCCACCGCCCTACCCCTCTGTGGAGGCTCTCGGCTGGCCTGAGCACACAGGCATGCTTGGCTTGCCAGCTGTGTGACCCCGGAAATGTTATCACCCTCTCTGAACCTCAGTTTCCTCATATGCAAAATGGGAACAGGAATCCTGCGTCCCTCAGAGCTGTGGAGAGGGTGAAATAAGGTGATACAACTAGGCCAGGCGTGGTGACACACTCCTGTAATCCCAGCACTCAGGAGGCTGAATTAGAAGAATGGAGAGTTCTAGGCCCACCTGGGCTACATAGGGAGGCCCTAGCTCAAGAAAACAAGAAAATGTCCCCCTAAGCACACTGCTGGGTGAGCCCTGCCTGGCTTGTGCACCTCCTGCCCACCCAGGTGCAAACAACCTGCTTCCATGTACAAGGAAGATGTTCTGGAAAGTTCCTGGCGTAGCACAGGACAGAGACACACGTTCAACTCACACGCACATGCATCTGACTCCCCAGTGAACGCTTGCTGAGGAAGAGGACGTGTGCGTGTGCACGGACAGCTCAGACCCCACGGGTGTTTCAGCCACGCACACGCACACGCAAGCACACTCCACACTTAGCGTGCTTCTCCCACCTCACAGAGCTGCTGGCACCACAGCTGCCTCCCCAGCCTCTCTCCCGCTAAGGTCAGCAGGCTTGCAGGGGACTTCACTGACAGCTTCCAGGGGGCTGCCAGGCCATCACCGCCCACCCCAGATGACAAGCTCCTGAGAGGAAGCTCGGGGATGTCTGGTAAACTGCTCTTCTGCCTCTGGCCATGGTGCAAGGTCACCAACTGAGAAGGAATCAGGCCAGAAGTTCACCCCCAAGCCCCAGCTGGGCTTTGGTCCCCAACTCTTCCTGCAGGGGCCCCGGAACCTGGGGCCCTGGGAGCGTGGGCAGAACCTGACTTCCCAGCACGACTGTGACACTTTCAGTGTGCCCAGGCGCATGGCTGTACGGATGGAGTGACTGCTCTCATCCACGGCCCCCACATGTCCTAGTGGAAACACAGAAAGAGGATTCGGGGAGCCCAGACCCCAACTTCCAAGAACCCAAAGGTTCTGGGGGCTGAAGGAAGGGCAGGTAAGGATGGCCACAGGCACAGTACGGCAGGCAGGAAAGAAGGTTCCTATCAGCCACTCACACTTTAGCATGAATTCATATAGTACCAACACCTTCAAGTGGGCAGGAGAGGGGGCCACAGGGGGTGGGAGAGAGGAAGATTCATTTCCCCTTTTCATAACTTTTGCAAAGGAGCAGAAACCACAGGGCCCCAGGGATGACTCCCAAATGAGGAAGTAGGAGAGGGGAGCAGCCTCAGGGCTGCAGCCTCCTGGGTGGTCAGGAGATTGTGGTCAGATCAGGAAGCTCAGCCCGCCTGGAGGATTAAGTGCTGTGACTTAATCATTCCCAGCCTGCTGAAAGGGTAGGGTGGGGAGTGCCATTGCTCCCTGCCACACAGTCTGCAAACACTCCCAGGGAAACAGTGACCAGGCTGCTGCTGCCACCTACTGCACTGACATCAGGTCTCAGCCACAGCCCCTGGTAGAAGAAAAGGCTGGGCCATGGCTCCGGGGGCTCCGATCACTTATGTATGTTATTTTTTTGTAGTGCTAGGGAACAAACCCAAGGCCTCTCACAAGCTAGGCAAGCGCTCTACCACTGAGCCCTCAAGCAGAGAAGCCTTACCAGGTGTGGTGGTGCGCACCTGTAATCCCAGCTACTCGGGAGGCAGAATTAGGAAGCCTGCAGGTCCAGGTTGGCTGGGCAAAAGTGTGAGACCCTACCTGAAAAATAAAACAAAAAGAGCTGAAGGGGCAGGTGCTCAAGTGGTAGAGCTCCTGACTAGCAAGTACCAGGCCCTGAGTTCAAACCTCAGTACCGCCAAAAGTTGAATCCATAAGTAAATACAATTTGGGAGGGGCTTGTATGTGCTCTTGATAGAGGCAAGGATAAAAGGCTTAGACCTTAGAGGGTCCCTCTGTAGGTGCAGGGTGGGAGGGGGAGGATACAGCTCCCCCAAGTGAAGTCTCAGGCTACACAGCTGGGGAAGATACTCTCTCTCAGGTCTTGGGCCTCGGTGGTCCTTCTGGACAGTGTGGGGTTGAATTCCTTGCTGGGTGTCCTGAGCCCACACTTCTCTATCGTTATCCACAAAACCGGGGCCCGCTGGGACCTCCCTTGCTTGGCCTGGCTGTTTCCCTGAATGCAATGTTTGGATGTATGTCAGGCGCAAGCAACTAGGACCTCAGCTCTACAAAAGATCCAGGAAGTCCCCGCCCAGCTCTGGCTGCAGAGGGAGCTGCCAGCGAGCCATTTCGCACTGAGCTAAGTGTTACTCAACTTCCTGTGTGGGTAGGAGCCCACGGTGTGAGCAGTCTAACTACCACCAACTTCTGATGCAGTTCTTGAAGTTTTCCAAACCAGGCAAGGTCAAGAAACACATTCAAACGATCATGAGATGCTATAAAACACCACTTAAAATCATCAAACCCATAAAACTTAATGCTGGCGGGCCTGTGGAGAAATCCTTTACGGCTGGTTGGTTCTGCTTTTCTGTGTAAGATGGTGGTAAAAGAAAGACTGTTTGCTGGGCAAGGTGGCTCACGCCTGTAATCCTAGCTACGCAGGAGGCAGAGATCAGGAGGACTGAGGTTGGAAGCCAGCCTGGGCAAATAGTTTGCGAGACCCCACCTCCAAAATACCCAATGCAAAAAGGCTCACACCTATAATCCTACATGCTTAGGAGGCTGAGATGGCGGGGGAGGAGGACTGAGGTTCGTCAGTCTGGGAAAGCAGTTCTTGAGACCCCATCTCCAAGATAACCAAAGCAAAATGGACTGGAGGTGTGGCTCAAGCCACAGGACTTTGTGCTCAGGACTTTGAGCACAAAGTCCTGAGTTCAAACCCCAGTCCCACCAAAAAGTAAATACATAAAAATAAAACAGCCACCAACTTTTTAAAAAGCAAACATACTCATTCAAAGCTTCTTTATAACGGTGACAGAGTGGAAAAACCCAGATGACTACAATTATGAAAAGGGTGCATTGTGGCATTAAGAGTTTGGAGAGTTCAGGCGGAAGTGAGGCATACAGTGCTTGCTTGGCCCTGGGCTCCATCCCCAGCACCAAAACCAAAACCAAAATACCACTTAACTCTAGAAAAGACGCCTCACAGTTTATACAGAGAGACACAGGGAAGAGACTAAAGTCACCAGCCTCCCTTCACCCAGACCCTTCTCTCCCACTTTCTCTCTTCTAACCTTGACTGGGAGGAAGTTTTTTGTCTTTTTTTTTTTTTCACTTTGCAAACTGTGGCACAGACAAAAGTAATGATTCCCTGAGAGCCACACAGACCTCCACGCACAGCCTGGGACTCAGACCCCAAATCCCCAAGATCAGGTTCACCTGGGCACACACTTTGGGTGGGGGGGGGCTCCTGAGGGCAAGGACAGGGCACATTCTACATTTAAGCCTCACAACTTCATTTAAGGCCCCCATTTTGCAGGTGAGGAAAGTTGAGGCCCATGGAGGTTAGCTGGCTGGCCAAGGTCACACACGGGCCTGTGAAGAAAGAGCGGGTTCCAAAGGGGGCAGACAGCCTGGGAACAGCCCTTCCCTGGCCTGGCCCTAGAGGTGGCTGCCCTAAGCTAAGGTTCCTGTCATCGCCCGCGGGCCAGGGCCGGACCTGCCCAGCTCTGGGTGGCCTCACGGGGAAGGGAGGGACGCCCTCATCTGCTCGCAGGGACCCCGACCCGGTCCCGGGCCCCCGTGTGGGGTGGGGTGGGGTGGGGACTGGGGGAGGGGCGCCAGCTCAGTTCCCGGCTGCAACAACCCGGAAGGCTCGGAGGGAGGGGAAATGACTGGGCGTGGGGCCCTGCGCCCCAAGTAACGGGGCGACACCGGGACGTGGCGATCGGGCATCGGGGACAGGATAGAGAGGAAGGGTGGGGACGCGCGCCGCGGAACCCCGAGGGCGCGCGGAGCCCTGAGTGTCACCGCCCGCGCCACCCCGAGCCCGCCCGCGTGGGGACCTCCGTGCCCCCCACTGCTCTCTGCCCTTCACCCCGTGCCCCTCGTCGTCTGGAAGCGCCTCGCGGTCTCCGCATGCCACCCCCACCTCGGGGTCCCCCAGCAGCGCCCCCCTCACCTCGGGACGCCCCGGCCGCGGACTCTGGGCAGTCGACGCGCCGAGCCGGCTCTGAGCCCCGCACAGCGCCGCTGCCGCCACTTCCTCGTGGGCGGGGAGGGCGGGGCCTGGAGGGGGCGGGGCCGCAGGTCTGGGGGCGGGGCCAAGCGGGGCGGGGGGGGCATCCGTGACCGGATCCCGGCTCCCGCTCACCCCTCGGGGCTCCCGGGTTGCTGGAGACACCGTGAGTCGTGCCCTTAAAAAACCCGCGATCGCCGCTCGCTGCTGTCTGGGTGGGGAAACTGAGGCCAGGAGGGAGTGGCAGGGTGTGGGGTAGGGGGCTGGAGACCCCTGCGACCCCGGACCCTGCGCCCTGGAGGTGGCCAGGCACAGACGTGGCCCAGGCGCCCCGCCCCGCCCTCTTCGCTATGAGGGGGTCCCCACCCCAAAGTGGGGCGCTGGGCTGGTGGAGTGGCGTCTGCCTGGCAAGCGTGAGCCCCGAGTTCAAAGCCCAGTACCACCACCACCACCAAAATAAAAAGAATCCCTAAATCCGGTGCTGGCCCCTAGCCAGGGACGCATACTGGTCACGCCTGGTGACTTGGTGTCCCTCTACTCCACCATAACCGCTTAACTGCTTCGTCGCCCGGGCACCATTACAGACACGTGACTTGGGGTCTTGGACCAGGGGTGCCCAGGAGTCCTTTAGTCCTGCCCGCGATGCCTCATCAATGGACAGGTAGGGTCTCTTCGGTTCAGCTCCTGACGCATGCGCTGTTCTTGCTTCTAAACCGCGTTTCCCAACTTGGTTTTGTCGTGCTGCACGTGGCCTCTGAGGTCACCCCCTCTCCCTCCCCCACCAGAGGTGTCCACTAGACTGCCAAAGCACCAAGTGCTAGCTGTCCGGGCTCTTGTTCACACTGGGACCCGAGCTCTTCCTCGGAGGGGTCCCATGTGTTCATACTTTTGCGTGCTTCCCACGTGAGCACAGTGCCCCTGTTTTTAGACGGGACTGGGGTTTGAACTCCGGGCTTCACGCTTGCAAAGCAGGCGCTCTACCTCTTGAGCCACACCCCCAGTCCACTTTGCTCTGGTCATTTTGGAGATGGGGGAGGGGCTCTCGAACTATTTGCCTGGGCTGGCCTGAAACCTCAATCCTGGCCTCTGCCTCCTTAGTAGCTGGGATTACAGGCGTGAGCCACCCACCCAAGCTTCAGCTAATATTTCCATGGCAAGGAGCATGGAATTGCTATGATCAGGAGTCCCCCATCTTTTCTTTTTTCAGTAAAGGGCTTTGAACTCAGGGCCTCATGTTTGCTAGGCCAGCTCTCCACCACTTGAGCCACACCACCAGATCCTTTTTTTTTTTCTTTTGTAATGGGTTTTTCCAAGATAGAGTCTTGAGAGCCATTTGCCCGGGGCTGGCTTCTAACCTCGATCTTCCCTATCTCAGCCTCCCAACAAGCTAGGAGTACAGGTGTGAGCCACCAGTGCCCAGCAAGGGCCCCCCGTCTCACTGCTCCTGCATGTCGGCTCTGTCGGCCTTGGTCAGGCCAGGTGAAGGACTTATCATAAGTAGAAAAGCATCTCTTCCCCCTTGTCCCACTGAGACACGCACCATTAATGCACAAGTAACATTCTGCTGTCCTCAGCTTTGGAGATGCCCAGGGAGTCTGAGCGGTCTAAATGCATCCACTTATGGTGCCCTCTGTCCGGGATGGTGACCTAAGATGACCCAAAGACCAATGATGAGCAAAGCAAAGCCAAATTCCCCACACTGGGTGCTGATCCAGGGCCAACAGGCCCATCCTGGGCAAACTGGGGAGCCACACACGGAAGTGCCCCAGCCCCAGGGGAATGAAGCACAAAGAATTCTGGAGAAATGACCAGAACACTGCTCAACTCACCCCACTCTCCCCCCCCCCACACCCCGCAGTCAGCCCAACCCTAATGTGAACCAAGTTCTCTTCCTTTTTTTAATTTTTTATTTATTTACCTTTTTTGCACATTGGGGTTTGAACTCAGGGCCTCACCATTGCTAAGGAAACAGTCTACCTTTTTTGCTTTAATTATTTTGCACTTTTGCCTTGGCTGGCCTCAGACCTTGATCCTCCTACCTCTGCCTTCTGAATGGCTGGGATTACAGGCATGTCCCACCATGCTCAACTTGCCTGTTGAGACAGGGTTTTACTAACCTTGTGTCTAGGCAAACCTAAACCTTGATCCTCCCTCCCTCATCCCTGCCCCTGCATAGTTGGGATTACAGGCATGTACCACCATGTCTGTTTGTCCTATTTTGAAGCTGGTTTGTGCTGTTTTTCTACTACCCATCACCAGAAGCAATCTAACCCTTATGTGAAAACGGAAGTGACATAGCCTGCCTTGGTGATGACTTGTAAAGTCCATGCATGGAGCAGCCATGTTTGCCTTGCTCACTTGCCACCCTCAGGGCCCAGTACACAGAATGTCAATCAACACACATCTAAAGGACAAATGATGAGGTGGTGCTAGAAAACTGAGCCCAATTCCAGTTCTGCCACTGCGCCACTTCAGGCAGACCCCCCCATGTGCCTCAGTTTCCCCATCTGTGAAGTAAGTCTGAAGGCCTTGCCAGCTGGCCTCACAGGCCTGCAGCCCCTGGAAGGAAGGCCCAAAGAGGAGCAAGCCTGTGAAGCAATGCCAGGTGGGGCGGGGAGAGGGATTCCTAAGCCTTAATTAAGTGAACCAAGTGCTTGCAGCGCACAGCTGGGATGGGGAGTTTCATCTGAGTTCTGAGAACAACTTAGACAGCTCTCTCTCTTCCCGGAATCTGTGCACCGGGCCCTGGAACCAAGATGCCCTGCTCCCCCTGCTTTTCTGCAGTTGTCTCGGGTTTCCAAGCAATGTGGCCTGTCGGACTTGGAGAGAGGCACCAGGGTGGGGCTGGGACTGCTGCAGTCTCCTCCGCCCTCTCACTGCCTGTCACAGTACACTGTAGCCAGCCGTGGAGTGACCTAGGCAGGGGCACAAGGCAGGAACTCCTTTTCCAGGAGCCCTGGCTTTGTCTCTCTTTTGTTTCACTGGCTGGAAAGGGACATGTCCACCCTGAATGGGGACCATAGGCCTCTTTCCCTAAGACCAAGGGTTCCATGCCTACCTGGAATCTGTTAGCAGAGGAAAAGTGGGCCCTCCCAAGGCCACTTATGCCTGCAGATGTCACCTCAGGATGCTCACTCACACACCCACATCTTGTGAGCCAAATGGCTGGACATATCAATGCAAATCAGAAAATCGGGTCTCCACAGAACCCCCTCCCATCACTTCTAAAGACATCGCCAGCATCTGAGCCAGGGAGAGTGAGCTGGACTGTTCCTCTGACATCTCTGCTCCCTAGCCTCACCTAGTAGGGAGCGAGGCTTAGTGCTTCCCACTGCAGTCTGGAGAGACTGGCCATCCGTTCTCCTCTGGACCTGAGTTTTTGTCATCTACAAATTGTGGAAATAACAGTTCAACCCTGCCAGGTGTGCTGATACACACCTGTAATCCCAGCACTTGAGAGGCTCAGGCAAGAGGACTGAGAGTTCCAGGCCAGTCTAGGCTCCACAGTGAGACCCTGTCACAAAAAAACAAAACAAAACAGGACCAGAGGTGAAGCTCAAGTAGTAGAGTGCCTGCTTTGCAAGTGTGAAGCCCTGAGTTCAAACCCCAGTCCCACCAAAAACAAAAAAACACCAAGTAAGAAAGAAGCCCTAGGGTTTCTGGGAGTAGTTAATGCTTACCTTGGTGTCCCAGAACAGTTAGCTATTCTTCCAGTAATTACTATTCAGGGCATTCAGGGTGTGCCTAACTCATCCTTCATCAGGGACCAGCCTCCTTCCTGACCCACCTGGGAATGTTTGAAAAATCACAGCCCACAGAGCTGACAAGGATATACTCAGACAGGCATTGCTGTGTGCACATCAGGGTGCACTTTTACTTCCCTGACCGTATAGTGCTTGTGATACAAGCAGGGGATGTTGTGCAGCTGGGCATGGTGGCTCACATCTATAATCCAAACTACTCAGGAAGCAGAGAGCAGGAGGATCTGTGTTCAAGGCCAGTCCAGGCAAAAAGTTCTCAAGATGCCATCTCAACTCATAGGCTGGGCATGGTGGTGCACCTGTCATTCCAGCTATGTGGGAAACTCCGAGGAGCACAGTACAGGCTGCCCCAGGTATAAAGTGAGACCTACCTCAGAAATAACTAAAACAGAACGGGCAGGTGGAGTGGCTCAAGTGGCACAGCATCTGCCAGCGAGTCCAAGTCTGGTACTGCCAAAACCAGAGCGCGCTGAGGTGAACAGCAGACACACTGTTTCACAGAAAATTCTGTTGTGTAAGTGGGGGGTTCACTCTGTAATAAGGAAAACTACATTATCACTTACTATGTAAGGTACATAATTATTTTTGGCAGCACTGGACCCACTTACTATGCAGGGGTTCTACCACTTGAGCCACTCCACCAGACCTGTTTTGAGTATTTTCAAGATAGGGTCTCTTAAACTATTTGCCCGACTGGCTTCAAACCATAATCTTCCTGATCTCTGCCATCTGAGTAGCCAGGATTACAGGCGGAAGCCATGGTGCCCGGCTGTACTGTGCATAATCATCTATGCTGTACTATTTTGTTTCTGTGAGGCAGGGTCTCACTAAGTAGCCTAGGCTGGCTTTGAACCCACAGTCCTACTTCCTTCGCCTCCCACGTGCTGTGCTGTTATCCAAAGGCAGTAAGGTCTGAGTCACCACAAGAGTGGGAATACCGCATTGCACTACGACCTTATGACGGCTGCCCTGTCACTGGACAGTAGTTTTTGGCTCTATCAGAATCTAATGGAACACGGTCACATACACAGGTGGCCCGTCAATTGTCTTTGACCCGAGAGAGCTCATGGAAGTGGGACCACCTGCAGCACTGAGGGTTTCTGGGGCTTTGACTGGAGGGGGAAGAGGGGACAGAACAGGACAACAAGGACACTTCTTCCCTGGGTGAGGAATGGTGAGTTACACAAAGAAACAACCAAGACTGTGTGCTTACTGTGTCTTTGGAGGTCAAGTAAGTAAATTTGTTTTCTTTTTGGTGCTTTCAGGTGTAACAATGTGACTATGTCTTCCTCTGTGGGATGCACTCCCGGCCTTGTCTACACGAGGCAGGCCCTCTCCTGCTGAGCTGCATGCTCGGCCCAAACCACGAAACTAAAATGTTCAGCTTGTTCCGTTTTCACCGCCAGCTTTGCCTGTGCTGGTGTCAGTCACGCTGCTGCCATAGACAAACGTGCACAGGAGCGCTCCTGCCACCCAGGGCACAGAGGACACCACAGCCCAGGGGGACAGGCAGGGCCAGCAGGCCAGCATGAGGATCCTCTCTGGGAGTCACCTCTCAGGAGTCACCAAAAGGGCAGAACAGAGCTGGGGGCAGTGGCTCACACCTGTAATCCTACCTACCTGGGAGGCTGAGATTGGAAGGATTGTGTTCAAGGCCAGCCCATCTCCAAAATAACCAGGGCAAACTGAACGCGTGGCTCAAGCCAAGCCCTGAGTTCAAATCCCAGTCACACAAAGAAGAAAAAAAAGGGCAGGATGAATCTTTTGCCAGTACTGTGACATCTTGAGAGGCCTTGTCAGCAACCCCTAGGGAGTGTGAGGATGGTGGCCCTGGTCATCGTGACCATGAGCATGCCGGGCTCTGTCTTGATGTGTTCCATATTTGTATCTGTGGCCCATAACACCCCAAAGACAAACTTTGTCTAAGTAGGGTAAAAAGAGCCCGGCTTAGGCCAACAACCCATAAACCAGTGACAATGGTCGTCTTCCTCTTCCCACAGTATGAGGCTATGGTCAAGGACTGCCCTGTGGTGGGCACAGCACAGAGGCTGGACCACGGGCCAGTGTTCCCGGAGTGGGCGCCCAGTTGGCCTGGCTGCTGGGATGCACATTTCTCTGTTGCTCAGCTTCAAAGTGCAAGCAGGGGCCCCCACTGTGCAGTATGACTGCAATGTTAAGAGAGGGCCATCAAGCTGGGCGCCAGTTGCTCATGACTGTAATCCCAGCAACTCAGGAGGCAGAGATCAGGAGGATTGTGGTTCAAAGCCAGCCCCGGCAAACAGTTCTCAAGACCCTATGTCAAAAAACTCCACTGGTGGAGTGGCTCAAGATGAAAGCCCTGAGTTCAAGCCCCAATACTGCCAAAAAAAAAAACAAAAAACAAAGGCCATCAATTATGTGCCCCCCCAAAACACTTAAGTTCTATAGCTGTAGAGTAGAAATCAATCTAGAAACAGATCTAATAAGATCTCACCCCCAAACAAACTAATCTACTCAAGAACTGGCCCAGATTTTTCTGCTAAAAATGGCCCTAGATAAAGAAGCGGAAGCAAAACCACATTCCGGAGTTTTATTGAATTTTCTAGCAGACACTCCACGTACCTCCCGCTCCCTCCGTGAGTTCGAGCAGCACGTTCCATCATGAACTGCTCAAGCAGAAGCTCTGGTCGGGTATGGAATGAAAGAGCAAACACAAAACACGATGAGAAAACCACAGCGGCCTTTACTGCCGCAGACGCCCTGGCGGCACTGCTCACGCACCGTGCGGTCAGTCTGCTTACAGGGCATCCCGGGCCACCGTCCTCAGCACCTGCGTCTCTCACCCGCATGGCGGAGCTCACGCAGCTTCACATGATGCGAAGGCCCTGGATGGAGGACTCCAAGGTCTGGGAAAGGGCAAAGAACACCGGTCACTCTAGAGGACTGTCCCTTCTCCCTGATGAAGGCGTCCCACCCCACTCTGCCCCCAAACAGGGAGCCCCCACTGGCTCATCCAGGCCTGTATATCCCTTGTCCATCGCTCTGTCCACAGGTTCTGGAGCCCTGTCTCACTCCTCCATTTTGTTTTTTTTGGGGGGTACTCATATTTGAACTCAAGACCTTGCACCTTCTGCCAACCCTGGAGCTGACATGATGGTTCACAAAAGGAGAAGTAGAAATACCTTGAAATCCCAAATTGTCATGGCTCCATCGATGCCAGTAGTGCAAAATTTACGACAATCTTGCTTGTCCACCTCATAGATGGACACTTGACTGAAAAAAAAAAGCAAAAGAAAGAGATGGTATGGTTACGTGGTAGAAGTGAGCCCAGCCTTCCCCTTCCTGGCTAATGGCTCACAAGCAATTTAAGAAAATTCTATGTCCTTTCCTCTTTTTCTTTTTCCTTTCCTGAAGAAGAGGTCTAGAAGTTTCCCTCCTTCTTTCTGCATCAACACCATAATGAAAGCCTCCATGTTAAAGGTCTACTCAACTAGAGACAATCTTACGGTACACCACTGGGAACATAAGCAATTTAGTATCAAGAATATATTACATTTCTCAGTCCCAGCACCCGGCTGAGGCAGGAGGAGCACAAGTTCAAGGCCAGCCTGGACTACATGGCGAGACACTGTCTCAAAAACAACAAAAAGATAAAAAGAATGTAATACATTTCTCCTCTAGATTAAAAAAAAAAAAAAAAAAGTCACTTTCTGGACGAAGTCCAATTCTGTTCTTTTGTTTTCTGCGGGACTAGGGACTGAACACAGGGCGTCTGACTTGCTGGGCAAGTGTTCTCCCTCCTGAGCCAGGGTCCCAGCCCTGTGTTGTCCTTCTGGTCACATGTGCCTGGTGAAGTCAATCAACAGCCTTCTCAGTGGTCAGAGCAGTGCTAAAGAGTTCTGTCCTGTGACTAAACCAAGGACTTCTTACTCGCTCCCGTGACTTGGAATCCTCAGTGGATGTGACAGGATGGAGCCATGGCCCCTGGCCCGAGGTCACACTGCAGGATCGGCATTCGGGAAGGCCTCCCTCACAGGCCCCACGTTCCTGCTGGGTGCACCTCGAGGTCAGAATGACTAGGTGGTGGCAGGTGAGGAGGCACACAGTCCTGGAGGGACGTGTAGGCCTGCAGTGCGTAAGGTTTTGTGAGAACACAAAGGAAGGTGGCATCTTGGTCACCTGGTGACACCTACGTGATGCTGTTCTGGTGCAGGGTCTCCAGGGCCGTGTTGCGGTCCTCGGTGGTGGCCCTCTTGTCCATGTTCCGGAAGCGCTCCATGGCAGACATGTTGCGCTGGATGCTCTGTTTGGGAAGGTCTAGCTTGGAGACGAAGGTCAAGGAGCCACGGTCATCATAGTTAAAGAGCATGGGGCAGCAGTCGTGGCCCTGGAACGAGAGTCAGTAAGCCTCGGAAGGCGGTGATGCCCACCCACCATCTCCACAGGACAATCACCATGGGAGCGGCCCTGCCCGTCACAAAGGCCACTTGACCTGTGTCCCTGCCTGCAGGTCATACGTGTGCACCACGATAACAGGAGGTACTTACGGCTGCCACGACGCTGTTCTCCGAGACAAAAGATACACTCAACAGAGGCAGGAACTCGGTTTTCAGAGTGGACACCCTGAACACAAGGACACTTGTTACACAGCCTGCTCACAGACGCTGACGACACAAAGGACCCATTCTCACAGGGCCTTGTTCGGGGTCGAAAGCAGCCCCCTGACCTCTCCTGCAGGAATCTCAAGCACGAGGTGACCCCAGTGCCACCTCAAAAACAGGGCTCGCCTAGCCCTGGGTTCCAGCCCCAGCACCACAAAAAAGAAGAGGCAGTCCTCCTGTCGTCAACCCCTGGGCTCTGCCTGGGCTCTGCTCGGCCCCCTGCTGAGGCCCCACCCACGCACAACAAACTGGTCCCTAAGGAGCCCTGGTTCCTCTGGTCTCTGCCTTTATCCCTGTGCATGTCCACACTGCTGCCGCCTCTGCGCCTCTGCCTATCCAGGCACCTGCAGGCTCTGAAGCTCACTCTCACTGCGTCACCTCCAGGAGCAGCTGTCGCTGTCACCGGTGTGTGTCCTGTGCACGCCTTCCCTCCCCTGTGCTTACCAAGGCCACCAGGGGAGCTAAGACCACACAGGTACTAACTGAGAGACAGGAGCTCACACCCAAATGGGCAGAGAGAGAGAGAGAGAGAGAGAGAGAGAGAGAGAGAAGAGAGAGAGAGGGAGGGAGGTGTACACAGAACCTCTGCTCCTGTACTTGGCAAAGAAGTTACAGAGACACGCAGGCACATACAGTGGGGGTGATTAGGGGCGCCTCACTTCACACAAAAGGTGATGCCTCTGACATCTAACGGCCTGTGTCTTGGGAGACCCCTTAGCCGAGTGGGTGTTAGGTGACAGAACTAATGTGACATCATAAGCCCTTGCTGTGGCACAACCTGACTTCTGCAACTTGAGGTGTTCATGCTGGGGAAGGGCAGAGCGGGCACGTGAAAGCACTTACAGGATAAGATAAGGCAAATCCTAAGCCAACTTGAGACAGAAAGGGACTTATGATAAGCTTGTGCTGAGGACTTACCACATGTTACAGCAACTCAGGAAATCAACGCTGACATCAAAATACTACTGACTGCCAAAGGCAAGTTACTGTACAACTGTAGAACACCATCTTCTGTGTTCATAATGAAAAGGTATAGCATGGATCATGCCTGTAATCCCAGCTTTGTGGGAGGCTGAGAGCAGGAGGATTGTGGTTTGAGATCAGCTTGGACAAGTACTTCCCAAGACCCAATCTCCAAAATAACCAGAACAAAATGGACTGAAGGTAAGGCAGCAAAAGTGATAAAGTGCCTGTAAAGCCCTGAGTTCAAATCCCAGTGCCCCCACAAAAAAAAAAAGATAAGTGCCTATATATGTACAGGAACTTTCTGGAAGGCAACATTTGCTTATAATTTATTTTTTGTTTTTTTTTGAGACAGGGCCTTACTATGTAGGCCAGAATGGCCTCGAAGTCAGGGTCCTCCTGTCTCAGACTCCTGCATGCTGGGCTCACAGGCTATAGAACTACATTTGTAATGGGGGAATGTTTAAGGAACAAAACCTAAACAAAACTCATATTAAATGCAGCTAGGAAAAACAATGTGCCCTCTGAAACACCATGTCTTGCTGCCACGGAGTGGCAGAGGGATGGAGGGTTACCCATGGTGACCCTCACACAGGTCCCCACACACAGGTCGGCGAGCCTCAAGACCTCTTGGGTGACATGCCTTTAGCTGCCAATGGAAAAGGACTCGCCAGGAAAGAGCCAAGACTGGCAAGAGGAAAAGGATTCCTGTCTTTATCTCGTCCACGTTTGATAAGAGAGACCCCGTGCAGCTGACAGGGTGACTGTCACCCTTACAATTCCAGTTCCTCCAGCAGACACCACAAGGGGCAGGAAGCAGGTGCTGTTCCCTGGAGGTTTGTGGGTAAGCACAAACCTCCTATTTAACGTAGGACCAGTGGGGGACACTGCTGTGACGGAGAGAATTCAGATGAACAGACCAAACTGGCCACTTTAAAGGGACCGTTAGCAGCAGCAAACCAACCAGAAGGTTCCTCAAGGAGTCACTACCAGTGCTAACTTGAACAAGTGTTTCTTTTCTTTCCTTTTTTGGGGGGGGGTGGTACTGGGGTTTGAACTCAGGGCCTCACACTTGCTAGGCAGGTGCTCTACTGCTTAACTCACTCTGTTAGCCCTTTTTTGTGTTAGGTAGTTTCTTTTACATCTTTTTTTTTTTTTTTTTTTTTTTT